TCTTCTGGTTTCAAGGAGTAAAAAGTAGGTCTGTTCCCAGCTTCAGTAAGCCAGGTTCTTCCTTTTGCTCCTTTGATGCTTGTCTGACTCCTTTTAGGAACCAGCTTCTCCTGCTGCTGTTTGCAATATGTGGCTAAAGCTTTGAGTTTTCGTGCCACCCAGCAAGGCAAGGTAACAGGGTGGAAAAGGACACAGACGGGGTGGCAGATGGGGGGCTGAGTTGCATCCCCCCATGGTACCACAAGTCTGTGCAGACTGTCAAGCACTAAAATTTTTATCATGTGACTACAGAGGGCTGCACTGGCTATAACCTCAGATATGAATAGTAAGTCTCTTTATTCGGTGCCATTGTAATTTCAAATGAGCAGTGAACAAATGATCATAAGTTGAGGACTTACCGTAAAGTCTTTACATTACCTATAAAGAAAATGAGGTGAGGCACAGAATGAAGATGTATCTGGTTATGATTTAAGAGACAGAGTCAGATGGCACTCAACACACTAGTGAGGAACTGCTGAAGATCTTTTGGGGTTCTAACAGTATTTATGATGGGTTAGATTAAAGCCTTTGGGACATGTAGCTGCTGATGTTGCCATACAGGAAAATGCAATCCAAAGCGGCAAAGATAAAATTACAGTAGGAACATGGAACATAAAAAGCATGAACATAGTGAAAGATGAAATGAAACAATTACATATTTACATCTTAGGCATCAGTGAACTGAAATGGACTGGGATTGAACACTTTCAGTCATATGATCACACTGTTTATAATTAAGGACATGAAAACAAAGGAGGAATAATTTTGCTTTTACAGTTAGAAAGACTATAACAAGAATCGCACAAAGCTACAATGCCATCAATGACCAGGTAATATGGATTAATCTTTGTAGACAACCCTTTAATATACAGTAACAATGATTCAAGTTTGTGTTTCAAACACAGATGCAGAAGGAGACTGATAAGCTTTATGATCAAGTTCAATTTGAAATCGACGGAACATACAAGTACGTGCTGCTCGTGATTGGAGACTGCAAAAGGAACATGAAAGAGAAAAATGTAGTTAGATTGTATGGCTGAGGAAACTGAAATGAAATGTCACAATTTCTGCCGTGTAGTTTCTGCTAGACCAGTGATGGCAAACCTTTTAGAGACCGAGTGCCCAAACTGCAACCCAAAACCACTTATGCATCATCGGGTGCCGGGTAGGTGTGGACCATTGGCTGGGTGTGGCCAATTGGGTGGGTGTGGCCCATTGGGTGGGCGTAGCTGCGGTGGTAACAGCAGACTGGGTGGGACTAAAAAGTTCAATCAATCAATTCCAACTTTGCAAGATCTTTTTTTTTCCTGCGAGAAGTTGAAATTGACTGATTGATTGAACCTTTTTTTTTTTGCACATGGTGGCGGAGGCGTAAAGCGAAAAGATTTTATAAAAATCAGCTGAAGGCCTAGGACTTGGGCAATGGTGCACGTGCCCACAGAGAGGGCTCTGAGTGCCGTCTCTGGCACCCATGCCATAGGTTCGCCACCACTGTGCTAGACTATTAGACTGTAGTCAAATAACCCAAATGATAGCATTTCATAGACATCACTAGATGGAGTATATAGAAAACAAACTGAGTACATTTAGAGGAGGAGGAGGAGGAGGAAGAGGAGGAGGAGATGATATTATATGCCCCCTATTTTCAAGGGGAACATCAGGAATTGCTTTGAAATCCTTAACCTCATTGATAAAGAACCAAAGGAATTATGGAAAGACTTTCAAAAAGTTGTTAAAGAAGAGTGTGAAAAGAGACTGCCAGACTGGATGTTGGAGCAACTGTGGAAACTGTAGAGAAGAAAAGCCAAACCCCAGAAAGACAAAAATCTCAAAATATCAGTTTCAGAGAGCTGTGAAAAGAGACAAGAAGCAGTATTACAACATCTGCAAAGAATCTGATGAAACAAAGGGTGCTGAGAAGCACAGACAATTTACCACCAAAATGTAGGTTTAAACGTGAACTTGTGCCAGTATTTAGTTAAGTCCACTTTTTATTTTGTTTCACAAGCACCACTTCAGGTACCTCTTCTGATTCTTCATCTGACAGAACAATTCAGTTTGTCAAGGAAGAGTCTAGGATTTTTGCTCAGGAAAAGGGCACTTTAGAAGAAGCGTATGCATTGCCTTTAACACTTTTCTATTCCAGGCTTCAGCGGGGCACCAAGAGGAAACTGGCTAATCAGACCCATAAAATCTCTGGGATGGACTATTTAATGAGACCATCCTGCCACAGAAGTTGATAGCAGGAGTGAGCTGATCATGACAAATGATGCATACAAACAAAATGGATTTTCAAAAAAACAAAACAAAA